AGCTGTCCACGCGGACGCATCGCTCACTCAAGTAGGAGAGAGACAGATGTCGAACGCTGCCGAACGCGGAGGCCAATTGTGCCTCTTTGTCGCTCGTCCCGCGCTCTCGCTTGCACTTCAAGCCTTAAACGGAAAGCCTCAGAGCGAGGTAACGCCGCATGAGTCATGTTTTTTCGTGCGTGCAGCCGGCTCCATCGAATTATAAGACGTTGTCACGTCAAAAATGTAGGTACTTTTATTTCAACTATTAATTTATTCGGATTAAATATCAATATAAGCATCATATAGTGGCTGTTGTAATCTATTATTGGTTTCATGTTTTACCACCAGGCGACATGACTCAAACAATTCCTTCCCAATACGCAGTGGTCACTAGATTTTAATCGCCTCGATACTTTCAGATAAAATTAAATAGTCTTTATTTGCTGTGTACTCGTGTGTATACAATCGATGCAAAATTTAATTTAGATTTAATTTGTAGGCACATTACTAAAATTTAATTAATCCAGTTTCGAGAAAGGGCTTAAGCGTCAAAATTATATCGAGATTAAAATCTCTCTCTATTATACTGTATGAGCTACGAAAGGACTGCGTGAAAATCAATGATGTATTAGTATTAAATAAATCTCATAATCGATATCTACCTTTCGATTCATAAATGGAGCAAATTACAATCTAAATTATTTACCATGGCTAAGTACCTATACATCTATGTTTGTGTATTTATTTTGTTTACCCCTGCATGGTTTGATGATACATTAATAGCTGTGGTGGTCAATTTGGAATTTCTTCGAAAACAAGGTAGTGCGTTGCTTCAAATCCAATTAAAATTAGATTGGTTTCACGTATATCTTCATGTAATGGCTAATTAGGGACCGGTCGTTCTATATGTGTGTGCGGTAATTATTTAGAACTGAACAAAAGTTGGCGAACAATGGAGAATCTTTTTTCTCCGCTCCAGTAATTAGTCCCTGTTCAGAAACGACTTGTTCCAAGGATCTTCACCGGTATATACAGTATACGCTCTCTATCACGAAGCTTTTTATTGCGAAAACTCTCCATTACATAGACATTATTAGAGTTTAACGAAGAATTGATATTTTCCGGGTTGGTAGGCTGTTGGCAATTCTAGCAATCCAATATGCCAAACGTACATACGAGGGCGGTTCAATAAGCACCCGTGTTAGAAATGACAACAGTTNGTTTTTAAAAACCTTGTTTTTCTTGGTCAGGCCGGAAACTTATCAATCCACCCTCGTAAAAATTACAATAAGACTGACTGTTCAAAGAGCCTGAAAAGTTCGCAAAGTGCATTTACGTTCCAACAAACCCCGTCAAGCGAAAAGTGGCTTTCGGAAATGCGTACAGCACCCGCTAAGCCGCAGCTTTACAGTTTAAGGAGTAAAGTTTGTTTTTAATTAAAATTTCAATTAATCCCGCAATGGTCCAATATTGATCTATGCTTCTTATACGATAGACCTCTTACTACGCTTACCAAAAATGAATTCTAAACATTTCTTAAAATATTTTTCGATTTTGTATCACTTACTTCGGTATATAGCTCATTTTACGTCTTCTCAGGTCAATGAAATTTTTACCAACCGAATTTTAAGAGTGAATCAAATTCTTATACAGATCTATTTTACTTTTTTTAAAATGTTAAAAGTCGGTTTACTGACGATAGTTGAACGTGACAACGTCATAAGAAAATACTGATGGAATGGTTTCATTTTTCAAAAGAAAATTTTAATTTTATTTGTTTGATAGATATTTAGATAGATAGATAGTCCCTGAAGAAGGTAACTTTGTTACCGAAAAGTGCTTCGGACAACTACAGTGTCGTGTTTTGGCGTTGGGGTTTTGAGCTATTCTGTTTGTTCTACAACAACCGCCAAAGTTTTTCCAATCTTCATATTA